CAGAGTTTTAAGTCTATCCATGTAAGAAATTGTGCAGGAAAAAGACAATTTGAGAATATATTTAGTGGCACGCCTTTATGTCCTTTCAATTCTTGTAATTAGTTCGATAGATTGAGGAGCCGAAATTGGGGTTTCATAGCCGAAAAGAGATCTAACTAAAGTGAGATAAACCGATCGCCTAACTTCAGTGCTTCGTGTAAATCCGGTATTACGTCTAATGTAACCTAACAGCTTATTTGCGCGTCACGACTGCTCAAACACTTGTTTGCTCCATGTGAGGTCTTAAGCGACAAGGACTCCTAAGTCACACTCGGTGACCACTGACTCTAGAACTTTCCCTTTGATAGTGTACGATAACTCGATTGGCTTCAGTTTCCTGGATATTCTCTGAGCCTTGCATTTTGTCTCGTTAAAAGTGAGACCGGAGTCTTTTGACCAAGCGTCGAGTCGATTCAGATCCGACTGGAGAGACACAACATCAGCAGCAGACTTGACCTCTTTCAAGAGATCTTTGTATCGTGGGCAAACATAGCGATGTTACTCTCCTCTACCACATCCGGAAATTCCAAGGTTCGTTTGATGGGAGGACCTCCTCTAGCACCGGCGGTAAATGAATCCGGCCACAACTGATATCTCCGAGAAACTTTCTATTGTGAGAGATTGTTTGTGTTTTACGTTAAGTTAGATTATTATCCCTTGGACTTCTGTCTATGCCGTATTTACTCGATAAAATGCCGTCATCGATGATTACAATCAAGACTGGTCAAGCGTATCCCCAGAATTTCATTAGTGAAGCGATCATTTGAAGAAATGAATGTGTTAGTCGTTGCCGCAACCAGCCTCAAATTCAAATCTGTTTTCCTGCATGCGCATAATGAACAATGACTTTTTTAAGATAACTTCTCAGTGTTCGCGTTTGCGGCATAAAAGCAGGAATCCGGAATCCGCAATCCGCAATCCGGATCCTTAACTGGAATCCGGAGTTGGTACTTGTTCTGTGAAATCCGTGGCACTAGCGGAAAACCCTCTGTATTCGATCAGATTGAAAAGCTTTAAATGGATAAAATTGCTTTAAGGACGTCTACATCAATTTCAAGAAACCGACTTGGGAGAAATTTCATAACTACCTCGCGTGTGATTTCACTGCTCATTAAGTATGCAGGACTGAGTGCAGAAATTGAAAGTGACATCCACAACCAAAGGCCGATTTAAAAGCTTCCAATAATGAAATTATTAATTCAATCTTTGGTGGAGAGGGGATGGTATTACGCTTTACTGTAAACTCCGCAGATGGAAAACTATCCTATAATACTACTCCCATTCAGAACAATCAATCAACGCTGTGTAGAAAGCAATCGATCAATAAACGCCGCGGCGGCGTTTATTCAAAGATTATGCGTGAAGCACTTGGGGCAACTTAATCTACATCATCCAGACAATAACTATTCCATCTCAGCAAAAAAGGGACACGTTCGAACTTTAAAAATCTTTTTGCTTTACAAATGTTTCTAAATAAATTTTCGTAATTATTGTCAGTAATTGTGAAATTTTTAAAATCCAGTAATTTTTAATATCGGATACTCTAGAAATGTTAATACAAACAGTTGGGGGGTTTAATCGAATAAAGATGGTGTATATTTTTCAATTAAAACAAATTGGACCATCTTAAACGCGATGGGAACTGGGAATGAGGGTTTTCAGGAAGAAACAAAGGAGCATGGGAAGACATGGGAAAGTCGCCATCTTTGCTCAAGCGACATTCACAGATGATGACATTGAGAGGTACGTGTATTAGTTGTATGTTTTACGATCCGGATATATAGTTGAAATAATAGACTTTAACGTGGAGAAATCGGACATTTTTTTCCCAGCTGTATTACCAGCTCAAAAACAAAGGATCATGACAATAAAGCGTAAGCTAGCGTTTAGGTTGCGTTGACATCGATTTGATAGTGAACTTACGCAACAGGACGGGAGAGGGAAGAAGAAGGCAAACCTTGTGTGACAAGGGTGATAATAATTTTGTTTGAAATAACTTTTCGCCAAAATTCACTTTCCTTTAAACAGATCTTTTTGAAAACATTGATGTTAAGTGAAGATCACGACAAAACACGTAAGAAATAGCCTTGTCACGTTTGTCACACACGAGCGTTCTGCCGTCCTGTTGCGTAAACTCACTAATATAATATTTATTTAAACCGCACAAGAAACTGTTAGGTGTAGAAAGCAAACTTTGAAGGTAAAAAGGAAATGTGAAAAAATATCAAGTTTGCTTTAGATTCAAAGCTGTCTTTTGTTATTTGTGTCATGTTGATGTTTTGTAACTCTTATTATTTATGCATCAGTCAATTCCAGCTGCGCCCAGCCCGCCCCCTCCCCCCCGGCAACTGCGGGGCATTTGCCTGCCTTGTCAGTCCCAGGGGTGGGGCATCTGCAAATTTTGCACTGCCCGGGGGCCGGGTATTTGCCAACCCCGGGGCCATTCCTGAGCCTTTGACACGCACGCAGTTTCCTATCAGAATATAACTACAGGTTTTACTGGAAAAAAAGCAGATTGGCTCATCTGTCAAGGACAGGAATAAATTGAAGAGGGTTGTAAAGGCATGTTCTCGATTTTATGCATGCACTTCTTCATTGCTTATCAAGCAAGAATTTATACATTGCGAAAACCGGAGCTATCGATGTGAATCAATGTTTTTTGGTTATTGAATCAAATTTCTGTTGATATTATTTGAAGAACATCCTTTCATATTCAAACAACTATTCGTAACATATAACATTACAACGCTCTATTAATTTTAATGTCAATAATTTTATATCAGTAGGAAAAACACAAACTGGTGCATGTCGTCGCGGCGTGAAGTCTTCATTAGAATTCTAGCGCTATTACAAAGGAAGACGTTAAATGAAACAAAAAATCTCACATTAAAATGCTTAAAACGGCATTATTCGACTGTGCGATCAATGAAAAATGTTGCAGTGTTGACCGAGGACGGAGCATTTGCCCTCTTTTTTCGTCCCCACCTCGGGCGATTTGACAGCTCAAGAGTCCCCATCCCCGGAAATTTGCCATCCAAGGCAAAAAATGATAATACCTGGGGGTCAGCCCAAGGGGGGGGGGGGGGGGGGGGGCTGGGGGCCGGGGGAATTGATGGGTGCATTGGGGGGGGGGTGGGATGGGGAGTTGTTCTTTTTTTTTCTTTTTTCGCTTGGGTCCCCATTACCCCGGATCTAATTTTCACATTTATTGGGGCGAGATATTTTCCCTTTGTGTTTTTCTTCTTTTTCCCTTACC